GAGAGCCAGTGGGAAAACCCCAATGTTTGCGTTTGTTTGACACCCGTCGCTGAGGAATATTGGCTCTCGCTCTATGCAAACTGGACCACCTGGTCTGCGAGGACCTCCAGGACGGGGCGAGGGCGAGGAATCCGCGCGGTTGCACCTGCGCTCTGCGGCTGGAATCCAGAGGTCAACGGGGTGGCAAGCAGTGCTTTGATCAGGATGTTTGGGATCCAAGAAGGACGTTTGGGATCGAAGATGTGTCTTTTATGTTATTCTATGTTCTGAAAAAGGATGCAGAGAGTACTACAAACTACACAACTTGGGTGCGCATTTGATCCGCCGCGGCAAACATGTTGCAGAGCGCAGCATGGTGATTGACACTTACTCCGGCGCTAGATGTCGCTTGTGTCTTGGATTTCTTCACTCTGTTCCTTTTTTGGCTAAAAGGACATGGCTGGTGTTTGATGCGACCTTCCCCTTATCCTCCCAAAAACAAACGAGAAACCTGCACAGGGCTTCCGGGAGGGTGGACCTTGTGGAAACAAATTGTGTGTTTTTCCAATGGAAACTGATCGACCTGTGGGTAAGAGCAACCCAGAAGAGTTCCTGCGACGCTTTCCGCGACTTTCCAAGTCAAGGGATGCTCTGAGTTCTTGACGCCCAGTGCCCGGCATTTCCAGGTCCTGCTGCATGTGAGGCGTTCAACTGCTGTGTATACGTCCCCATATGAACCAATGGTAATGGGTGAATTAAAAGATAGCTACTCGTATGGCAGCTATGGCAAAAAAAAGGAAATCAGCCCCCCAAAGGGTCCAAAATGGCCATGGGTTCATATGCGATTATGCGATCTGCGATTTTCCAACATCACAAACGGAATCTTCCAAGATCAAAGCAATCATTATAAACACAGGCATTGGCAGTTTGAAACCGTCGTTCGACCTTTTTGTGTATGTGTCAACATGTTGTCGCAGAAATGGTTGTACCTTGGTACCAACCTTCCATTCCAACTTTCGTACCAGTCTTGTACCTGGGCGCCAACCTTGTACGATTTCTGTTTTTACAATCTTCATTCACACGCGCGTAGTGCCCGCGCACAGCGGAAGCAGTGCGGCGATCTTCAAAAGGTGCCAACCTTCACAGGGCGCGCACGCCATCCGGTTGGAGGACCGGCGAGCGGCCCGGCTTCCGCGCCGTGAGCGGCGTGCGCCTCCGCCTCGGGGCGGAGGCCCCGAAAAGGATGCGAGTGGTCGTCTGGGTCCCACCCCCTGAGTTCCGTTTCGGACTTGGAAACTTTTTTTTGGAAAGACACGTGTTCTTTGGTAGATAAGAACGTGTGGAATGTTTTTTTGGGGTGTGGACTACTCGTGAAGCAAAATCAGAGCATGTGATTTTTGGTGTACCCGGGCATGGTTATAGCCCAAAGGCAGCAAAAGAGGTAGCCTTAACAAGAAGAGTTTGGAGGGGAGACTTAGGAAGTGGTTCGTGGTCGACTCGCTTCTCACTGCTTCACTTCAAGCTTGGTTGGCAACGTTTGCCCTTAAAAAACTACTTGGAGGTGTCACGTGTGGTTACTACCCATGGTTGTGACCTGCTTGAGTGTTGCTTTTACCCACTCACCTCACGTTGCTCCTTTGAGCCTCTGACTGTGAGCTGCTTGGCTCGGAGAAAGGACTGAGGATTCGGCACTGGACCACCGGTTTTGGCTGTGTTTTGCCTAATAACATTTTGGCCCTTTGGTTGCCAACCATTCTTAGCGGGAAGCCTCGCATGGCTTGATGCTCGCCGTCCACTTACGCGGAAAGCTTCCCGCCGCTTCCCGTCGCCTCCGCTTTCCGCCAGGACGGGGAATCTGGGGAGCTGCTCTTGCCGCTGGGATCCGCAAGTCGCATCGTTTGGACCCCAAAAGTTGAAGGGCGCCCCTTTGCCCGTGCAAACCCTTGGGGCCGCTAAAACCCCTTGAGTCTTCTCCCAGCTCCTTTTGGAGACTGGCAATGAACCGAGTTCAAGTTCGTTCGCCGCTTAGATCAGAGTCCCTTATCTCACACGCGCTGCCGGGCTCTCCAGAGTCCAGCCCGAAAGAGGCAAACAAGTTGGACGAGAGCCCAAGATCAATGAAGACCTTGGTGGATGAAAACGGGGGTTCGGTTTTTAGAGGGCATCCGGCATTTTAGGGGGAACACAGACGGTTCTCCTTTCCAACATTCGTGGAAGTGAACGGGCGGCCTTCTCGAAAGGGGGGGGGAATCCCAGAATGGGGGCGCCGGGGGGGGGGGTGGTACCCTCACAGACCTTTCTTGGAGTAAGCCTAGCTACTAGTATGTGGTCAGCAACATGACCTGGGGTTGACAAGCATTGGATGCCAACCAATTTCCTGAGGTCACCGAACCAATCGCCCCTCGCGAACAGAAAATGCTCCCATGACTCACCCGTGCCCTTTTAGGAGCTTCCTCCGACTCCCAAGGTTCAAGGCTGCAAGTTCTGGCCCTTTCAACCCCCCCCGCGAAAAATTATCCCGGCTTTTGCCGGGCTGTGGTTGTCAAACATAGGGGAACCCCCTTAAATGCCTTGACGTGGCAAATGGAGACATGGACTAAAGCCCTGCGGTCCGATTTGTGGCTCAACTTTAGCCCAGTTCTCGAAACAAGAAGCACCGTTTTTTGGTCTGTTGTTTTTTTTTGGGGGGGGGGGAGGCGGCCACACGCCTTTTCCGAACACCGATCCCTGCTTGAAGGTCTGGGCCCATGGTGAGCCCTGGGTACTTGGACCCCAAGGCTACGGCGGAGAACTTCCTGGAGGAGCGAGGCAGCAGGCCAGGGGAGGTGATCGGCGATCGAAGCTTTATACCGGGCATGGGTCAAAATTAAACCAATCAGACCGCAGGTTAAGTCGTCCATGGTTCCATCTACTAGGGCAAGCCATTGTTGGGTTCGGATGATTTGACCACGTGCTTTGCCATGGTGCTGTGCAGCCGTTAAGTCGCTTCCCGAGTTCCGGGACTTTATTTTGGGTTTTGAAAGTATTTGAGGGGTAAACCAGAAGTTCGGTGTTCTTTTTTGGCCAGTCCACGGAAGTGAGTTGAAGGACAGCATTTTGTTAGCAAATAGAAGCCAACTCTTCGTTGAACTTGGATGTAGCCACCGGCATAACTATGGGAAGTCGGACAGGGATTAGGGTAACCCCTTTTGTGGTGATTTGAAAGGACAACCAAAAGGAACGCCACAATTGTGGAGATCCCCCAAACCTCGACATCCAACCCACAACGTACCTAGGGCTAAAACCTACTTTCAGCCTCCCTCCAACTTCAATTGGTGCTTTGGATTGCTGATTTGGTGGGCAGGCGGGTAGAAAGCGATTTCCCATGTATTCACAGGAATCGCTTGCTTCAAATCCCTAGTTCCCACGAGTTCAAACCACATCAGGGTTACCCGACTTGCAATGGATGAAGATGAACCCCTATGAAAACAGGGACAAACCACAAGTGATGCGACGCGCATTTCGCCCCTCCACAGTAGGTTTATAACCTACTTGCCTGACTAGGGGGTCCCCACCCCTGAACAAACCTTGTGTTGCAGGCAGGGTTGGGAAAATATTGTTGACAGCAGAGGCTGGCCCCATTTGGGGGAGGGTGTCCACCAATTTTGAGCTGGTTGGAAGATCCTCGAACTTACCAAGAGTGGAACCCTGAATAAATGAAAAAGGTCTCTGCAAATGTTCAACTTGACTTTTCTCGCTCCCACATTGAAACCCATGGCATGTTGGTGGGAGGAGGTGTTGACCTTTGAATAGAGGATCGCAGTTTGATCGCCAAGTTTTTGGAGCATCGGGAACCTTTCCTTCTGGCGAAAGGATGATTGTACACCTTCAGACCTTCACCCTGGTTTTGCGGGAGGTCAACCACTTGATGCTTGGACTCACCCCATAGGCCCCACCCCCACACTTGGCGCTCGTTTTCTCCGAGCGCGCAACGACCATCTCCGGCTCTAGCTTGTGCCCCGTGTTGCAGCTGGCAAGCGGGGAGCCTGTGGGTCTCGAAGGTTTTTGCTCAAAGGGAAGCGGCAAGTCACCATCAGCAGCCGCCTCTAAGACTCCAGGATGGTTAATTACCCCACTCCCCTCGGACAGTACCCTAGTTGTATGGGACAGTCACTAGTTATGTAGCCACTATGGAAGCCATCCAGGGTGACAATGGGTCTCCCAAGCGGGATATGACTATCCACTTACCTGACTTACCCTGCCCACAGTTATAAGTCTCAAGCCCAGATTTTTTGCCACCAAGGTTGCTGTCAACACCTGGAAGCATCATCGTTGCCCGTTACTGTCTTTGATATGATGGTGAACATATGGGTCTGTCTTTTCTTGGAGTTGGTACCCCATTTTTTGGGTCGTTTTAAATGGACATCAAGAGGAACCCCGAAATTTTTTGGGGCTCCCTGAAAAAAAGAGACCGACCCGTCTCGTCCCAGGTTTTGAGCGGAAGGGTCGGCCAAGTCAATAGCTTGGAACACATGAATTCCGTTCGGATGAGACACGCATGATTGTCCGAACATTTTATTGTTTAATCCGTTCAAATGCTTTGTCCGCGAACTAGCCCCAACAATTCTGGACTGGTACCTTTGGAGCCTTTGGACCATTTGAACCACACCCAAACCCCAAGTAGGTGACATTTAAGGGAAATGGGTGCCTTCGTCTTGGTAACTCTTTACATGATTTTGGGTTCGCCATTTCGGTACCGATCGGTTTTAACTACGACTCGCCCGAGGCTGCCTTAGAGGGAAGACGGGTAAGAATCCGACGCGCTGGGCGCCTGGTGGTTATTCTGACTCATTTTCCTTGGGCTTCCCTGGGCTCTCGCTCATTTTCTGACTTGGTTTGGCGTGGTTTGCATTCTGGCTCATGTTCCTTGTCCTTCAACCACGGGTCTACGGTTCCTTCACCGAGCTCCGCCCGGGCGCCCGGGCGCCCGGGCTCCGAGCTCTCGGCAGGTGGTACCGGAGCCGCGACGTGCTGCAGCGGCGCGGGGAGGAGTACTTCCACTGCGGCCGGGCGGACGACCTGGCGAAAGCCGCTCGAGGGAACTGGCCGCGAGTTCCAAACGGGCCGACGAGTCGCTTTTTTTGAGGGTGGATCTTAAAAGGAAACCAGACCAGGAGGACAACCGCCCTTCTGTGGGGAGTCCTCAAAAACACACACGCACACACACACACACCCAAATGCTCCTGTCGTTTGTTGAGGTGCCGCTTCTTTGCGGTTTTAACAGGAAGCCAGAAGGACAAGCACCATTTTGGGGGTTCGAATGCTAACAAAGACACGCCGAAATGGGTACCCAATTGTGTTGGCACCCTTTTGGGATTGGTTTGAAGTGAAGGCAAAAGGACAACTACCTTCTTGGCACCCCCTATTTTGACACACACATACACCCTGAAAAGAGGCCAGTGTTTTGGGCTTTTGTGTTTGGTCCCGGGCTTTGGGATCGCAGCGGAGGGGTCGTTACGGCAGCCAAGCCTTCTCTTCTTTTGCCAGATTCGCAGAACCTTAGTCACTGGAGCTGAGCTTGTCACAGGGCACAAGCCAAGCTGTGGGTGCTTTGTTTTTTTGGTTCGGCGTATTTGTTTCACCCCGAGGCTGCAAAGGACAAGGTTTTTTTGGTGGCCAACATAGCAAGGGTTAGCAGATCTCCTAATGAGGAGATGGCTTTCTGATCGGAATTGGGTTCTAAGTCGCCGCATAATTTTGTGCTGGCAAACCTGTTCTTGCCAGAAAGCAAGCAAGGCAGCCCCGTGTCCAGGAAGCGCACAGAAGCTTGCTAAAGAGCAAGCCCGGAATCAGGATGAGAGAGTCATGCTCCTTGCGCCAAGATCTGTTTTTGCCGCGCCACTGAAGTTTGGACTCCATTTTTTGGACACTCGTTGTGCAACCTGAAACCTGTTCGAGCACTATTTTACCTTCTTTCTGATTCCCAAATGGCAGGCAACGAGGGGTGGAAAAACGAACCGGTCCACGCGTCGGAGAATCCTGCCAGCTGAGGTGGGCGGCCTGTGGGTTGACACGAGGCCAAGGGCTTGGCTTCGGAAGAAGCAGGTCGAGAGCTCCCTATGGGTGTGGCTTAAATAGGGAATGGGGGTTTGAGCTCCTCGGCCCATGTTATCCAGAGCGAAACTGCCATGCTATTGTTGTTAAGAACTTGCTGGACATTTGCTTCTGGATTCTGAATGCTCCCGACGGCTCTGGAGGGTTTCAGCTGCAACGACCACCACCCGGGAAGCATGACATCGCATCATGTCTAGCCCCCATTGAGGAAACACCCTTAGGAAGCACCATACAAATCCAAGTGAAGGCTAGTAGGGACAGTCCCAGCCAGAAAGAGATTCGGATACCACCGTCTTCATTTCTTGGCGCGATTTTGGGTAGACGCCTAAAGGCACCACTTGCTGTTTGTGCCTCACATCACCATAGATCATGCGCCTATTTTATGGCGAGCTCACCTGTGAATAGAGCTCACATGGTCTTGACTCAAGCCTCGGGTCATGTTACGGAGAACCAGCGGTTCCACAAGCGAGACCCTGCATCAGCACTTCTCCAAGTTTTCGTCAAATATCCCAATATGGCTGTGGGTCAAAGCCAATGGGATCCCATTTTGGGGTAGGTGCACCACCGGGGATTGGGATGTTCACTGGGGGTCTGGACTTTGACCCATGGCCATATGGCTATGGATTTTAATGGCGAACCCCCTGACAGAGGTTGGTGGACATACATCCCCACCTAAATGATGTCCACCAAAGGGTTCTTAAAATTCATGCCCATATGTCTCCCGTCTGAGTGCGACTCCTTGACGGTGCCAGGCAGGTCACAGAGAGCCTGCGCGAAGTACCAGGCGAGTGTGCGACTGGGGGTTGCAAAGTTGTAAACAACAAATGACCAACCAACCAACAAGCCCAACAAGCTAAACAACCCAAACAAGCAAGTAAACAAATAAACACAACGAACCAAACAACCAACCAACTAACCAACCAACCAAACAAACAAACAAGCAAGCAAGCAAGCAAGCAAGCAAGCAAGCAAGCAAACAACGAACCAACCAACCAACCAAACCAAACAACCAAGTGGCTCATTAGGAGGTGATTGACTCCTTCCGCGGCATTCTCGGTCAGCTTCCGCTTCTAGTTTTGGGCTGCCTGCCCAATCAGGTGGGGCCAAGGAAGCCGCTCCCGTTAGTGGTGGAATGCAACAAACATCCAGTTGGGGTTGCAGTTTGCAATGACACGGGCAGAGCGTGTTTGTCTCCGATCGAATCGAATGAGCACAGCTGTGATTTCCAACGCGCCTGCACCGAAGCCGTTTGATCGAACTGCCGCATCCAGGTGTTACGGAGGCCTGCATCCACAGCAAGGCCAGCGCGGAATCGCGGAAAGTGGATTTCATAGGGTAACCCGAACACAAAGACATCCAAATATCTTACCACGGGATCGACTTTGGGAAGGAGGTCACTTCGGCTTAAGCTTGGATTTGCGATCTCATCACAATGGGGGCAAAGTCATTCCAACCCATGGAACCTTCAGAAAACACGTGAGATGGGACTAAGCTTCTCAAGCTTCTCAAGCGGAAAGCGGAAAGCCTCCGCCGTGTGGCAACTCAGCTCGGCTCAGCTTGGTTGTTGTTGGGAAACATTTTACATGTTTGCTTGTTGTGGTTTAGTGGGAAATCCCCACTCAACTCCTAAAATTTATTTATTTTTTCCCCTTCCAACGTCAACCAAGTCAGGTCTGGAGGTTTCGGTCACGTGAAGTTTCTCTGTGGTTGGCCCAGCCTCAAAGCTGAGCCGCGGTGTCGAGTCTCGGTTCAGCTGTGAGAGGCGCAGAAAGCGAGGCATCCGGAGAAACTGATTGCCCCATGCGGAATATATCCCCTCTTAAGAAGTACACTTAGTGAACTTCGCCCTACCCACTTGGACTGAAGCCGGGAATATTCAGCCATTGCCAAGTGGTGCGGTCAAAAGTGCGAGGAGGACTCCTGATTCGTTCTTTGCCTGACCTGCCTGGGTGTTCCGCCCAATGTGGTCAATCCAGGTTACGACCCACCTTGTCCTGAAGTGGAGCCAAGCCCTGCCAACTGGTTGGCACAGATTCCAAGCACTTCAGGAGTGCATGTTTATTTAGACGGACTCTGCCCAAAACCTAAGATTGCCGAACCCAAGACCCTTGCCCCTGGATGATGAATCCAACCAACCCGCAACCCACCCTAAAACCAACCTAAAACAACCCGAACACCACCCTAAACCATCCTAAAACCACCCTAAAAACCACCCCAAACCACCCGAAAACCACCCAAAACCACCCTAACACCACCCTAAAGCCACCCTACAACCACCCGAAAACCACCCTAAGACCACCGGAAAACCACCCTAAAACCACCCTAAAACCACCCAAACAAGTAACACATACCTACACCAACCCACTTTTCAGCGTAGTGGTCTGCCAACCCTCCTTTTCAGCGTAGTCATACAGCTGCCAACCCTTTAGGACAATAGGACTGCGAGCAGCAGACAAAAAATACTCTCTTTAAACCATTTTAAAGTACCCCACAACCCCCCCCATATATGCATGCTGCATACCCCACCCCCGCATCTCCCGAAGTTATTAAATCTCATATGTGGGTCTGTCTCTTTTTGAGGGTACCTGTTTTGGGGGTTGGTTTACGGGAAACCAAGAGCAAGGTCCAAATCCTTCAAAAAGACACCCCCAAATGAGTTTGGGAATTTGAGACCCTGTATGGGGTTTCGCATCCCGGAACTCCACCAAACCACTGGGCTCCAAACCACCAACAAAAACCTGAAATAAGGTAAACCAAAACTCAGGGCTTGTTTCGAGGATAAAGTTGCTTTTGCTTTAAAGGGAACCACAGGAAAACCGTTGCGCCATTTGAGTGGTCTAACAAAGACGCATTCAAATAAGTCCGACCTCTAACCTCAAACACAATAAAGGTTACAATAACAAAAACAGTATATACAATATGTATATATATATATATATGTTATACACATATAAAGCATATATGGATACCTATGTATACACAGACCCCGGCAGGCAGCCTTCGTGTGCCTCGAGAACTCCGAGGCGGTGCCGCTGCTGCGCCGCCGCCTGCCGCCGGACCACGGGCTCTTCGTGGCGCCGCGGTGACGTGTTTCTTTGCAAGGGTCGAACTCTCTGAGCTCAGTTCATGTGTGTTTGCCTTTGTGTGGCTTTCCTTCATTTCAAAAAGTTCACTTTTGCTCGGGCCGAATTCTCTCAAGAGGGGTCTTTGTTGCATTTCGCCAACTGATGTTAGGACCGAAAAACTGTTTGCCAACGAATGGGTTTTCCGTATTAAGCCACTAAAAGTAATTCGCTTTTAGCAGGGGAGCAGGAGACGCGTAGGGGACGTGAAGGTGTCTCTTTTTGGGGGGTTTCCCTTTTATGGATGGTAGGTTTTAAAGGGAAACCCAAGGGAAAAATAGCGCCTCATTTTGGGGGATGATTTCGTTTTTTGGGATTTTGGGGACAAGGGGACGATTGACTAAGGAATGATTTGAGCAGGCAAACTTCTGGGTACTTCTCAAATTTGGAGAACTGCAATGTTTCCTCAAGCAGGAAACTAGTGTTTTCTTTGCTCCCTGCATTGCGGCCCCCTTCCCGGAGTTTGAATCAGGGCCCCTCAAAGCGGAACTGGGGGAATTTGGGACAGGCAAAGGATCGCTCCTCGCAAAATGCCAGTTGAAGCACAAGAATGCCTTGAAGCATGGGCTTTGAATGTCCTTTTTAAGGAACCCTGGTTTCAAGGCCTTCCGGGAGAACCGGAGGATAGAAGGTCACCTGGAAGATTCCTACATTTGAGACACGGCCAAATGGAGAAACCTGGGTCTATGGTGTTGGCGGTTGGGTCGAACATAGGGTAACCCCAAAATGGCTTGCCCGATCGGTAAATGGAACCATGGACTAATTTAATCCTGCGGTCCAATTCCTGGCTTTTCACTGACCAGGCTGATTATTTGGCCCATGCTACTCCCCATGGGCTTCGTCTGGTGATTTTTAGGGCCAACTTGGAAAGGGAGCAACTTGGAAAAGGAGCAACTTGGAAAAGGAGCAACTTGGAAAAGGAGCAACTTGGAAAAGGAGCAACTTGGAAAAGGAGCAACTTGGAAAAGGAGCAACTTGGAAAAGGAGCAACTTGGAAAAGGAGCAACTTGGAAAAGGAGCAACTTGGAAAAGGAGCAACTTGGAGTTGCTCCTTTTCCAAGTTGCTCCTTTTCCACGTTGCTCCTTTTCCAAGTTGCTCCTTTTCCAAGTTGCTCCTTTTCCGAGTTGCTCCTTTTCCGAGTTGCTCCTTTTCCAAGTTGCTCCTTTTCCAAGTTGCTCCTTTTCCAAGTTGCTCCTTTTCCAAGTTGCTCCTTTTCCAAGTTGCTCCTTTTCCAAGTTGCTCCAACTTGGAGAAGGCCCCGACTCTCCTGCAAATTCTTATGGGAGTTCAACCGACCGTGGATGTTCGGATGCGAGGTGCGCGGTCCTCTCCCTCGTGCGCCCACAGGCTGAGCAAAGCTCGGCCACCGAGAGATGGTTGGTCTCGAAATGAGTAGACCTCCCAAAATGGCGCAACGGTTTTTCTTTGGGGTTTTCCTTTGGGTGTGCTTTTAGGTGTTAGCAGCTTTTCCTTTGGATGTTCCAAAGCTGTTTCTGTAAGTTTTCCTTTTGGCGTTCCTTTCAAACCACAGAAAAAGGTACCAACTCCAACAAAAGGAACCACACCTCAATAGTTTTTTTTAAGCCGATGCCATGTTCTTTTGGACGCAGTGTTGGGAGGGTCCGAGCTTTTCCTTTGGTCCATGTGGGCGTGTCGCTTTTTGGCGGGGAAGTCGAAGGCTTTTCTGGGGTTGCTTTGGAGGAAACGAAAGGAATCCAAAGCCCCATGTTGGAGTTCCGTAACTTTTCGCACACACCCGGTTTGTGTTTGTGTTGCACATGAGCTGACAAGCTTACCGATCTCAGCCCCAACTCTAAAGGCCTCACCTCGTACTTTCGCTGGTCAGTTTTCGCATATTTTGCCCCTGGTGTTTTTCACTCAAGAACCACGTTCGAGGGCTTCAACATGGCCTCCACGTGGAGGCCCACAACAGTTGCCTGACCCGAATCGATCGCCCATAACAATTTTGAGCTTTTTGCGGTCGCCTTTTGGTGTCGATGTCTGATGACACCAGAGGGTTTTTTTCTTGAGGTCGTAGTGGAAGAATGCCCCTAGAAGTGACGAAGTAGTCGCAGGGACGGGACGCCCATTTTGGGATCACAGACGGTTCGCCGTTTTACACTCATGGTTGACACCAACAGGGAATTGCCCCCACTTCAAAATCATTATCTGAATAATTATGAAGCAGAAACTGATGATCTTATTTGCTTTGTGTACCCCAGATGTGATGCACAGGATTTGGGGATGGCTTTGAGTTCGGCCTCTGGTTGGATGGAACCCGCAGAATAGGTTGTAACCGGCAGTCAGCTTCGCCTTGCGTGGGTTGATCCCTTCAGGCAAGGTGGACCGACGCGCGGTGAGCATCTTGGCGGGGGTGCAGCACGCAACCCCCGGCTGCCGCCTGCTGGGTGCCGACCAAGCGGAAGTGCTGCACCAGCTGAAGCACCTGCGGCTGCTCAGGAGGCCTTTTGGCCTTTTGCCCGGATGGCCGGTCTGTGAGGGTAGTTACCTGTTCGGCCGGCCGGTCTGAGGGGGACGGGAGAGATGAGTTGATGTGAGGGCGTGTCGGTTTTTGGAGGGTAAGTACCCCATTTGGCTTGGTCAAAAAAACACGCACACAAAAAGACCAATAGGTTTGAAAAACACGAAGCCATTTTGCGGGGCTTCCCCCAATCTCGGGTGACACGCCCGGATCCGGATGTGTGTGGAATATGGTTTGTGTTGAGGGGTCCAAGCCAGCAGACCACGAGTCCGAACCACCAATTGAGGGCCTCCCTGGGCCTTTTTGGTGGCTTAAAGCATCACCTCTTTGGCCCATGAAAGGTGAGTGTCCCTTGGTGGGGGTGGTGTTTTAAGGGAGAATATAGGGAGCACGGATGTTCAGGCCATTTGTATTTGCGTGAAGGCGGGACACCGCACTGGTCGAAATGGTCAAAGGTACGTCTGGTAAATGGGCCTAGGGGACTTAAGACGGCTCTGGCTGAGATAATCGTTTGCATCTTCTTTATAACTTGGTTGCTTCGTCTACTCATTAGATGTTTGGTGTTTGTTGGGGTGAGTTCCCGTTTTTTATGGGCAGTTTGAGGGTCCAGGTGGTTCTGCCTGGTTTCACAAGGGATATCTCGGTCATTGTTGGGACACATGTTACATGTTTGCTTACTTTAGTGGTTGCACTCCAACAGCTGAACTGATAAAATTTTAAATTTCTGCTCCCCTTTCAACGTCAACAAAGATATGGGTGTAGGTCAAAAATAGGTACCCAAAACGCAACCCTGGTAAATGTAAACAAGGACTAAAACCTGCGGTCCCCTGGTGGTAGACTCCCCTTTCAACATCAACCAAGATATGGTATACAGATCCTTTTTCGACCCATGCGTTTTTTTGAGCGCCTGCTTGCAGTTGGCTCTCGCCGCTGTGCCTACTGGTCCTCGGCCCGCTCTGGCACCTCGCCGCTTCTGAGAAGGACAAAGTCGCGAGTCGGCTCGTTGAGCCGCAATGAAAAACAACCAGGTGGCTGTGGGTCAAAACCAATGGGATCCCATTTTGGGGTAGGTGCACCACCCATTCTAGTCTATTTAGTGGGGATTGGGATGTTTTGATAATTGGGTGGACCACTCCAGCAGCAAGTTTTGATTGCGACTCGCCTGTGCAGATCCGCAGAGAGAGAGTTTTGCATGGGAAAGCGAGATTCTTGGTCTTAGATGCTGGTCCTTGTGGTGGCAGTTGACTGGTTGGCTGCCTGCTTTGGCTGAAACACCCCGAGCACCAAGACTAAGTTGAGTTGACAGGCTAGCAAGAATTTCCGGATGTTTTCCTAGGGGTTGATTCCTCGTCCTTTCTTTCAACCATCGTTCTTCTGAAAAACCTGCTGTTTCTCCCTTGGGTTTTTGATGGTTTCCTAAAAAGAAGGATCCCCGGAAAGAATGGAAATGGAAGGTGCCCCTGGAGTTTTGGGCCACCAAAATGGCTGTGGATCCAAACAAATCATCCGGCCCCATGCGGCCCTGTCGCTTTGGACTCGCAGGACCTTACCTCCTGCATCTGGAGTTGCGCAGAGCTTGTCCTTCGCACCGTGCTTCTCAGTTATTTGCAGCTCGGACAGCAGAGACTTCTTATATACATTGGCTCGCAGAGTGTGTGACTTGGTTCGTCCTTCTTTTTCGTGCCACTGTTTGGGTCATACGAACGCCACATTGGGCATGGGCACGGAATTCAGTCCTTGTTTCCATGTACCAGGGCAAGCCATCTTGGGTATCTATTTTTGACTCACACCCTCAGCCGAACGATTTCTCCGCAGCTATTGGCCCAGCTTTCTTGACATGGCTGTGGGTCAAAAATGGGGTAATCCCCAATTGGTTTGCCCTGGTAAATGGAACCAAGGACTGAAACCTGTGGTCCCCTGGTTCAATTTTGACCCACGCCCAAATACTAAGCAAAAGGGGCTAGTTTGAGAAACACTCAAGCAACACGCTGCTGTTCACTGCGTCAGTTGGGTTTTTGGAAGTCAGAAGCACCAGACAAAAACCAGTACAAGTGTGTTTGCTGGTGGCTGTGGCACAAAAAGCGGTACCAAAATGGAACCCTGGTAAGTGGAAACATGGACCAAAACCTGCGTAACCCCTCCTGTTCAATTTTGAGCCACACCCTGGTGGTTTAATTTTGACCCACACCATCCACAGAGGTTCCTGTCTTTGCTCTACCACGACGGGCTCCTACGCCTGCTGGGAAGATATGTTCCCTTTGGCCACGTCATGGCCGTGGTCTTGTGGGCAGGCAGGGCGAGCGCTTCCACTTGCTTTGGAATATAGTACTTGGTGGCCCCCAGCCGTCCCCTTAGCTTCTTAGACTTTTAGGGGTTTAGTGGTAGCTTCCATTCAACCCACTAAAAGTTAAACCTTTAGCAGAAAATCTGAGGGCAGCCCAGAGTATATTCATATGTTTCTTGAAGAATAACACGTGTGGCGTTAAAGGAAATCTATTGCTACTGGACATATGCATATTTTTTCAGGGCACCATGGAGGGGAGGCGGGTCGCACCCTCCATTTTGGCTCAACGGGCGGCTGAGGAGCCGGTGGTGACAAAGCTCAGCTAGGTCCTCCGGTTGTGCCCATTTACTTTTTATTTTTGGGGGCGGTTCCCCTACTAAAGTAGACTACAGAAAGAAGGGTACCCTTGATCTAACCTCTCTGCTGGAGGACCTAGTCGGAAAAGGACGACAAGAAAGCTCCCGCCGCTGATGATTCATTGGGCCGTCGAAGCGTTTTAGTCGGAACCCTGTCCACTGAAAAACAACAGCTGATTTTCACGCACTAAGAGGTGAATTGCTGCGGCTTTTTGGTGGCAAGCACCCTACGAAGATGGGAAGATGGCGTGTTTTCTTGTCTTAGGTGGGATGGTACTGCCAGAAATAGCGGAGGCTTGAAGCCCTAGTTATAACGGGATGATACATCCAAACCTCCAAACCAACAATTCAGCCGCCAATCCAAACCACTAAGTGCTTTCTTATCCAGAGTCTATCTTGGAACAACACTAGGCTTTGTTTTCAAGTTTATCTTGCAGTCTCCTCAAAGTAATCAAATGTCATGCCCATGGCTGTTGCTCAAAATATCCCGACTCAGTTTTATTCCTTTGGTATCCCTTTAAAACCAACCCACAAAATGGGTACACCATCTTGAACAACCCCGTCTCCGAAACTATTCTGTATTTTAGGCTAGACGAAATATGGCCATGGGTACAAATCCCGTACCCCCAGTGAACATCCCAATCTCCACTACAATAGGTTCTAACATGGGTGGAGAATTCACCTACCAACCAAAATGGGATCCCAAAGCGGTTTTGACTATCACAACCATGTGACACATCGTCTGATTTTGGTTTTTTGGACACGTCCGATTTTGTTTTTGGAGCACCTCACGTTTGGTGCATTTTGCGTAAATGGTAGGACTTTAACTTTTTGCAAACTAATGGGTTTTCCAACAAACCGCTAAAAGTTAAACTTTTAGCAGGGGAGCAGAAAGCAACCGAGCCACGTGAGCTTGTGCCCTGGCCATTCAGCCAGGGCTTGTGCCGCTTTGGCTACTGGCTGCCAGCGCTGTGGACGGCGCCGTGCCCCCTGGTGGATAGGGGGGGACGGCTCTCCCCCGGTCTCACAATGGCGCCCATGTGCTGTTGAGAACGTGTGTCTGTGTGTGTGTGTGTCGGTGTGTGTGTGTGTGTGTGTGTGTGTGTGTCGGTGTGTGTGCGTGTGTGTGTGTATGTGTGTGTGTGTGTGTGTGTGTCGGTGTGTGTGTGTGTGTGTGTGTTGGTGGGTGCGTGCGTGCGTGCGTGCGTGTGTGCGTGCGTGCGTTCGTGCGTGCGTGCGTGTGTGCGTGTGTGTGGGTCTGTGTCTGTGTGTGTGTGTGTGCGTTTCGGGCCCTTTTTGGATTAAACGGGGACATCTTAAAGGGAGAGCCGCCGTTTTGGGGTTTCCCTATTTTGACACAGACGCATATAATTGCCGATGATGGCTTTTGGCGAGCATGCAGCAACAGACAATTAATATACAGCCGCCCCTCTCTTTGTGTCCTTGATGAATGCGGGTTTCCGGACACCCGAAAGTTAAAAATGGCATAGTTCCTTGCAATATCGCTTCAACACCACTCCAAAAATATAGTCTTTGCAAAGAACACACCCTTATCTTGAGATTTGCCATGAGCTTTTTGATGGGGAGACACATCTTTTGAGTTGGATGGAGACCAACCTCTAGCATGGTTAGTGGAGATATGAATTCCAATCTATATATAATATGAATATATGATATGTGTATATATATATATATGATGTATATGATGTTCGCCGAACGCTACGGAGCGGTTAGCACCTCATCTCCTGCGTCCGTGGGTCCCTATCCTTGAAAGCAGAGCCATTAACAACTGACCAACAAGAAACATGTTTCAAGGAAGAGTACCCAACAATAGGCCAACAACACACCAACAGCAAACCAAGAGACCAACAATACGCCAATAAGTGCTCACTCCCTGAAGAAACTGTTTCGGACTTCTTTTTTTGCCCATCCACTCGATCGGCAGCAAGGAAGACATCAACACACCGCACCAAACAACAAAGCAACAATAAGGCAATGCTAAGACATCAACACACCAAGACAATCACCACTTTTGAGAGACCAAACAGTTTGGAACTTTTTGTTTAGCCCATCCACTCGATCGGAAGTGAGTAAGACGTCAACACACAAACCCCGAACCAATAAAGCAACACTACACCAACTTTGAGAGACCCACCAATTTTGAGAGACCAATAAAGCAGCGATACACACCAACCCCCCCACCCAATGTTTTGAGCGACTCCTAGCGTGCAAAAAGCCTCCTGGGTCCCATCGAGGCACGCTGCCGGACGAAGGCGCCTCAGCTCCTGGCCCATGGTCTTCCTCGTGGGCTTCCCGAGGCGATCCGGTGGTTTTTCTTCCTTTTTCAGGGCTCCTTAAAAGAAAAGCATGTTGCAACCATTTGAAACATGGCTGGCTTTTAACCACCAAAATAAAGGGGGTTCCCACCATTTACAAGTTGCAATGTTTAGGTGTTCTTCTGCTTCCATTTGGTCTGTTTGGTCTCGCTCCCAGAAACATGGCTCCCTACAACACCCCCCCAGGCGCCATGTTCGTGGACCTCCCAAATGGCGTGAGACGGTATTGAAATGGGTTTCTTTCACCCACCACCAACTTCCACTTGGTAAAGAATATTTTTCGTTTCCCCCTGTTGGCTTTAAAGGGAATCGATTTCACTACTGGAATGATCATTTTTTCCAGGGGACTTGAGCAAATGGAGGTCTTTTCTTTGTGGCCCAAGCCGTAGCCATTTTGGCTCAAGTGCAGACGCGGCAAATCGCGGAACAAAGAACAGAAGAAAAATGTCGGGTCCATCAACGCGCGGCGTCGCGTTTGCGCCGGTCCCCGACAGAAGCGCACTTGGCGCGGGCGTCGCGGGTGCTCAGAGCACTCACGCCCGCGGAACGAGTGCGCATCCACGCCGAAAGCGTGGGCGACGAGTTCGAGCGCAAGCAAGACGCGCTCCACGCTGCAGGAGATCCGCGCGCTATGGGCGCGATGGCGCAGATCGCCTGCGTGCGGGATCAGCTTGAAGAGCTCGACCGATCCGCGCGCGTGCTGGGCAGGTCCGCGTCGTTGCCCGACTGGACCGCGACCGCGCTAGTCCCGGTGACCGAGATGCGGGAGCCATGGGCGTCGGCGACGGCGAGTCCGAACCCGGACGGATTGGTCCCGCAGTGCCTCACACCGGGGTGCATGCGACCATGGCCCTGCTTGCTATCGGCATGACTGTCGGCTGTTTGGCTGAGAATTCACATGTTTGCTGGTCAACCACATGGATGAGGTCGTTCCCCCCCCAAAAAATCGGGGAGACCTGCCGCAGGGCCCCTGGACCCTAGACCTGACCCTAGACCTTAGACCCTAGGCCAGAGCCTAGACCCAGACCCTAGACCCTAGACCCTGACCGACCCTAGACTCCACACCCTAGACCTAGACTCTAGACCCTAGACCCTAGCCCTAGACTTTAGACTTCAGACCCTAGACCCTAGACCCTAGACCCTACCCCAGCCAGATGATGTCCACCAAGTGGGTTATAATGCGCCTGTCCTTTTGCATCTCAAACTCGCCATTTAGCCATGACCATGGCGAATACTGGAGAATACTACCAGAAAGTGATAGGGGGCTACCCAGAACTGATACCTAGGACAAAATGCAGTACCGATGGCCCTGCCAAAGCAGATACCCTCACGCATTTGCCTATTGCTGATGTGGCCAGTGGGACGCTTGCTGAGTATTAGGCATTCATAGCTTGGCAGGTTGTCCCTTCATCAACGTGTGGTTGCAGATCCCAGGCACAAGTTTTCCCTTGGGCATCCCCTGCGTTGAGCGTTGCGACAAAGCCACCCAGTTGATGCAGAGAAGAAACAACAACGGAAGGAAGCAAATCTTTGGGGGTCCCCTCGTTTGGGAAAAGATTTCATGTTGCGTTTTCAAGCAGGATTTGGACCCCCACAGCAGGCTTCCTTCTTTGTCACCATCAACATGAGTTCTCGGAGATGCATTCTCACTATGCCCAAGCACGTGCAGGGTCCGTCCAAAGTAGTCGACACGTCGTGTGACCAACTGCACAAGCGAGAAGTTGAGATTCTGGCTGGAGGATCGCGCATCAAGTTTGGCAAAGGGTAGGCTTTGGCCAGGTAGCGGCTGTGCTTGAGCCAGTTGGAATTTTTCATGCTTGGTGCTCTGTAAGCAATGGATTTTACTGTAGGTTTATTTGCCATGGTACAACGGGCAGGTTCCCCTGGGCATTTGAAAGGTTTTGGGAATTTTAGGGATGCACTTGCATGAAACTTCGGGACAGGCTGCAGTCGCCCGATTTTCCCGTTTGAGCTGCCCAATCTCGTTCTCATTGATTTTCCTTTTTAGGTTAGATTGCTTAAACATAGATGGCACTGGTTCAGATGGTTTTTTTCTTCCATTCACCAGGGCCATGTGTTTTGCCCAAGACGCCACCTATGCTTGTTCCCTGCAAAGTCACAAAGTCAACCGGGTCGAATCGCAGGTGGGCACGAGACTCCGGGAACTGGTGGTATCAAAGCTCTGGGCGCAATGTGCTGGTCGCCCGGACGAGAAAGCGCCGACGAAAAGAAACGAGGCGTCACAACTTGTGCGGACATCCGTTCTGGGAGCTAGGTCCCCCAGCTAGGTGCCCTTTTACCCTTTTTTTGGGGGAGGGTTCCCCTACAAAAACAGACTACAGAAAAAAAGGGTACCCTTGTTCTAACCTCTCTGCTGGAGGACCTAGGGAGGGTTTTGGGTTCACCTGAATGAGGGAGACACCAGAAAAGGAAATCAGACTTTGGGGTCTGGCAATCTGGTCAAGCCCATTTCTGGAAAGTTGCTACTGCTCTCCAGTGGGCCGGTTGACTGCCGAGGCCGGGGAAAAACCGCAACGCAGGCCATATTTTGGGCGACCCGTACTTTGAACGAAAGACATACGTACCAAGTTTCAGTGGTAAACCAAGAGCTACCCTCTGGTCCACTCACACGGAAATGGACCAGGTTCCCTTGTGAAGGAAAATGGTCTTTGAGGATCTTTCTGGTGAGGTTCCATGTTAGTGGATGGGACCCAATGGGGACTTTTTCTGGCCACTCGGTGAGTTGGTCTTGCGATCTCGCTGAGGACTGGTACAAGCGCTCGCTGAAGGCGGATTACCATGAGCTGCAGAAGAAGCTGCCGTCTTGCCTGAAGCGCAAAAGGCGCGGTTGGCGAGTCCTTTCTAGACTGATGTGTGATGTGTGGTCGACCTTCTTGCAGGGTTGCCTCTTCTTGGTCCCATCCATCCGGTTCCTTAGCTTTTAGTTGTTTTTAGTCGGTTTAGTGGTAGTTTTTTCCGAGTTTAGCCCACAAGTTCACCACTTTTAGCAGGGATCTGAACTTATTCAGCCGACCTTCTTGCAGGTCTCCTCTTGCAGGTAGGCCAAGGTTCCCCAGTGGCCAGCAAGTGCCATGGGGGTTTTGCAAGGCGTTTCAGGGGTTTGGTGAAGTGCACCAGAGAGATTTGGGTGTGGTGCCCGGCTTTGGTTGGAGTTGGAACACCCCGTTGTTTGGTGGGTTTCAACGAAACCAAAAGGGAAATTGTTGGAGTTGGTACACCCCTGTTTGTTGGGTGGGTTGCAAGGACACCAAAAGGAACACCATTTTTTTGTTGGGGGGGGGAGGGAGAGACACCCATTTGCTCGCTCGCCAGAGCGTTGTGACGCCAGGGTGTGCCACCACTGCAAGAAGCCGACCATGGACGGCAAAGTGGACCCCAAGGATTCGTGGCTCGGCTGCAAACTGGACACGAGCACAGCCTCAACGTGGCTTCCCTTTCTTCTTCTGATGGGGGGGCCACAATTTGGGCGGGGGGCCTTAGATTTTGACACAAAAGCTGGCCCTCCCTTTGGATGGATTTGAAGGAGAGCACAAAGGAACCTATCGCCTTCTTTGCTTCCCACCCCGGGAATCTGGTTGTACGACAGCCTCGCCGTTTGCCTTTTCGTTCAGGAAGTGGTACTGCGATGCCTGCTGGAAGTATTACGACAACCACTGGGCTTGCCAAGACTGCAAGCTCTGGGTCGTCAGAGGCGAGCAGCACCGGTGGATGCACGGTGTCTGCAACGGCTTATGGATGTGAACTGAGTCGCTTTGCTGCCGTGTGCAATACCTGACAAGACATGCAAGCATTCTTCCCACCTTTTCGCAGCTGCTGTGTTGTTGCGTCCTTTGTATTGTGTGTGTCTGTGTTTTGCAGGGTACCATTCTTTGAGCGGTTCCATTTTGGGGGACCAACGATTTCGACACACACCCAAATAGGGCAACCGCTGAAAGGCGTTTTGCAAATGTGGCTAGTACTTTGAACAACTTGGGTCTTCCATTTTTTCCGAAAATGTTCGACGAATTTGGACCCTTTAAACAAATTGCCCTAATCACACCATCATGTTCCGTAGAAACACTGTAAATACCCATAGCTAAAAAGACAATCTCGCAAAACCAGGTCTTCCGCACAAAACCGTGTTTTTTTCGGGACACATGTTTTTTCTTCTCCTTTTTTTCTTCTCCTTTTCTTTGTGTTTGTTTGTTTTTCTTCTGGCGTTTATTGGCTTCAGGTGTAGACCATGCCCTGAAAGTGTATCAGAAAGAAGCAAATCCATGTTGAGCATTGAGCAGAGGTCGCTCTTCTTTCCGCCAGATCTAACCATATGTTTGGTTGCGAAACCACAGGCCGACGGATTGCGGGCAAGTGGCTTTGCCTGAAATGTGCCGAGAAAGCACCTTGCCTGCAGCGCAGTTTGCGTGAGATGCCCTCAAAGGATTCCCTAAGCCAAAGGCAACTCAACGAAAGACAGATGACATGGTTGTAGAAAGTGGCGTAGGTCATGACGCTTTCTAGGGAACCACTTCGAAAGTGATTGGTGGACATGACTCCCTACCGAATTCTGTCTTCCCAGCGATGCGCGACGCGTGTCATGGCGGGAAATCAATTCAAATAGACTACAGCACCCACATGATGACGTTTGGCTCGAATTCCTTGGCTCGCAGAAAATAGCAACCTACACGGGTCCCAGGATTCCCCTTCAAACATGCAATTTACTGCTGGTGTTCATTGAAACTGCCACTTCTGGAGGATCCAAAAAGGGAAATGGAGCAACCCCCCTGAAATTTGGGTTGCGTTCTGGGGAACAGGGGTAGGGGATATTTCCTTGCGACCTTAAGACATGAGCGCCCAAAAAAACCTCGAGCGGGCTGTAAGGTACCTTTTTTGGGGTGAGTGTTTTCAGGAGAAACATTTGTGTTTTGACCTCCTTTTTAGCATGTTTTTCTCTGAGAGGTCGAAGCACAAATGCCAGTGATCTCACGTCCAGAGTTGTGCAAGAGGAAGAGAGAGAGTTGTCCGCCTCCTGGCCCCTGCAAGACTAGGTCCCCCAGTAGTGCCCTTGTACTCTAGGAGGGTTCTCCTACGTACTAAAATAGACTACAGAAAAAGTTGGTGCCCTTATTCTAACCTCTCTACTGGAGGACCAAAGTCCCCGGCCTATGGCTTTGATGCTTGCGCTGCGAACCTCCCCTGCCTCGCAGCGGCCAGCTTCCGTAGGGCGGTCTACGGCCATTGACCGACCGAGTTGCTCAATTCAAAGTGACTAATTCTGGTGAAGAAAGACCCTGCCTGGATTGCCAGTTGCAGCTTTCTTTTTTCCATCCACTTTACCCCAAAAACCAGCAACAGTGACTGAAAAAAGCCGCAACTTAGCTATCTAGGTGCAAGGCATCCGGCATTCTGGTTAGGAAGGCCTTTTTCATTTGAGTAACTCCAAAATGATTGGCAATGCACTTTTGGTGAGTCCCCGCCCCAAAGACATACCCATGTAGAATTGATGTCCAACAAAGCGACTGCAACCACTGCAAAAAGTGGGTTCTAACTCTACCCGCGCTACCATTTCCCCATACCAAATGGATCGACGCGTGGGTTGAACATCCAAGCATGCTGATCTACGGGCAATCCTTGTGTGTGTTTTGTTTGCGTGTTTCCCTTTAGAACCCACAAAAAAAGAGTTCCCCAGAGGAGACAAAAACACAACAACCACATGGGGATTTGCGTCCCAGATCCTTGGGGTTCTGTTCACAACTCGTAACAACTCGTAAGCTGTGCCTCTTGATTATCGCAGTTTGTCACATCCCGGCTTCCTAAATTTTCACCTGGGAAGACTCTGACAAGCACAAGGTTTCGTTAATGGGGGCAGAATCAATGTAGGATGTGATTTTTCCCATCATGATTTTAATTTACCCCAAAGCTCAGCTTCCCTCTGATTGGTTTGGATTGGTGGTGGTTTGGTTTTCAAGGAGGGGGTTCCCATGTAAAGCCAGGGGGTCCAATCCCCACCGATCCAAACCAATTTCAGGACCTGAAAAGCCCTACCCCCAGTGAACGGGACCCAATCCAACCACTAGGATAGGTTCTAAAATGGGTGGTGAATTCACCTACCAACCAAAATGGGATCCCAAAACGGTTTAGACAACCACAGCCAGATCAAGCCGGATTCGCCCCGAGGCCGCGGCGAATCCGCCGGTGCCGCCGGTGCCGCCAGTGCCGCTGGCGGTGCCTTTGTTGGAGGCAGAGGCCGGCGGGGGTCGACAGCGTTGCTTCAATGCTTCATTTGATTTGCAGCAGTCTATGCGGTCCATGGGTATGGGTCAAACTTACACCACCGCAGGTTTTGGTCCATGTTTCGATTTGCCAGAGTTCCATTTGGGTACCTATTTCTGAGCCACATGTGCGGTTCACAATAAGACAGACTATAAGAGATTACTCCAAGCCGTAGTATGGCACACCCGCCAGAGCAAGACAGAGTCATTCCAGACGTCAATGTTGCTTCCCAATAGGCTTGATAATTCACCCTGCTCGCCAAAAAAGGCCGCATATTCGCGCGGACATACGAATGGAAGTTGAAGGAATGCAGATTTAGGGCACTGACACTGACACCTCTGAGTCTTTTTCTGGTCCGATACCAGCCACCTCACTGGGAAGTTGCAAACTCGCGCAGGGTTTTTGGCCACTACGAAGCCAGATCTATGCCGAAAGAAGTGAGAAAGACCGTGGGAGCCAACAAGATACTCATGGCTCCCGATCCAAAGGCAGAATCTGAGAAGTTAGGAGGAAGCGAGCTGGAAGCTGCAGTATCTTAAGCGAATCTCGAGCGCCGAGATATCTGAGGGCGAAGCTGTCCACTCCCGCGTGCCACGAGTGAGAGAAGTTGAGAAGCGTAAGAGTCATTGATTTGCGAGCACACGGGATGGGCAGCTTCTCCTCTCTATCGCGGAGATACATGGGAAAGGAATGTTTTTTGCCTTCGCCAGCCATTCCGGTGTTTTCATTGATGTAGCGCTTGGGCCGCCAAGCAGCAAGAACCTGAGCATGGCAGTTGCGCAGGGCTTGCTACGCATCTTTCCAGGTATGTTGTTTCGCCTCTCCAACTCAGATAAGTCGTGCAAATAATCAAGTCATTCTTTGTTTTGCTATGGCAACATCAGCAACACCAGGCAGCTGAGTTCCCCAAATCCAGCTTTTCGTTAGGCCGCCGTTCCGAACGTGTAGCTCGGGGTTCTCCTCCAAAGCTATTTGGGTGTGTGTTTTTTTAGCAGACTCCCCCCCAAAAAAAGAATGGAGTTTGCTCTCGGTTTCCCTTGAAAACCTACCAGAAAGGAGATAAATCAAAAAAGAAAGACACGCCCATTTCCAACTTTCGGGTAGACTAAGCTTGAAGCAAAATTTGAAAACAACAATATTTGTGGAGTACCCCAGTCCAATCGGAAGCCGCAACATGCTGAGGCCGAACCGCCAATCAAGCGGCAAAGAGTTGACGCTTCTCAGCACTGCGGCCAAAGGCGACCCAGTTTCCGTTTGAGGGCAGCCCCTTTGCAGGTTCTCCCTAACGGAAGCTTCTCTACTTACTTGACGTTCTGTTTGACGGATCATAGGGGAGATCGCTCGGCTTGAAACACGTCTACAAAGGGCTCCTTGGAAGACGGTTGCGGAACTTGCGCCATGCCGCCTGCCGAAAAATTCGCTGCATGCACCGCGAACGTCTTTCTAAACGCAAATGTGGCAAACGGGCGTGTTTTATTTTCTGGCATAGAGAATTCTCAAGACGACAATGGCTTCAGATGAAGATGAATGCTGGGGAATGCTTCTGATGCTGGTGCAGCTTTGAGAGCTATCGCGGAATGATGCTGATGACGATGCTTTGCCACGCCTTTCAACCTGCGATTCGCCCGGAACTACCGGCTCCGTCCATGAAATCATGCTGTCACGCAGAGGTGAGCGCTCTCAAAGATCCTGAATTCCATCTCCCGTTACTACGCAAACTACACCAACAGAGTAAGGGGGCGCTGCATCAGGATTCCTGCTCGACCATTCCATCGCGGCTTGCTGGCTTCACCCAGATGACAGCAATCAAGGCCAAATTGTCTCCTTGCAGTGAGATTCGTGCAAGCAAAACAGGCCGTATGAGCATTGCGAGAGGCATGGGCGTCCAGCGTGTGCCGTTCTCATGCTACGACAGGTGCCTTCCTTGGTTTTCGTCTTTCGAGCGGTACAAACTCATGCAGGTCGGCTGACCCCCTATTTTTGCCGGCAATTTTACGAGGGAGTGCTGCGCAGGTTGCAGACGCTTGCGGAACCTGACGACCGAATCAAACTATCAGGAAAGCGTGTGTCACACGAATAAGAGCTGGGTACGGCACTGCCCGCTGCAACCTTTGCCAACTGGGGGAATGCTGGGGAATGCATTTCATGCTGGTGTAGCTTTGATAGCTGCAATCAAGGAATCATGCTGAGCAGATGCGGCTGATTCTTTGTGACTTGCCAAATAGATTTCGAATTGACACGCGAGGCACAAGAAACGGTCACAGACCTTCGTGTTTGGTTTCCCACACTACTAGAAATGTTCGATTCACTTTCGATCAAGTGCAATCGACAAGCTCATGCAGGTCGGCTGACCCCCTACTTGCCAGCAATTTTCAGAGCGATAGAGTACTGAGCAGGTTGCAGACACTTGCGGAACTGGAGCCAGAACATGCGTCGGATGCCTCAAGACAGATTCAAGCTAGATGGACTTGATGGGTTTCATACTCTCAGAGCTTCTGGAAAGTGCGTGTCACACGAACAAGAGCTGGGTACGGCACTGCCCGCTGACGACGCAGAGATGCCAAGGCTGCCAACCGGAGGAATGCTGGGAATCATTTGGATTTGATAGCTGCAATCAAGGAATCATGCCGAGCAGATACGGCAGATACGACTTGCCAAATGGCTTTTCGAATTGGCAGATTGCCACAGACTGCCAAGAACTGAATCCGTCGATAAAGGCATGACACGCAATGCACAAGAAAAGGTCACACACACACACACACCAGCGGCTTTGGCCCGCAGTCTCCGAGCGATTCGCGAAAGGCAACTTGCGAAAAAGCGCAGTGCGAGCGGCATGACGCCAGTTCTACGACTGCGGCTCCCAAGGTTTTGTGTAAGCTTTCGTCAAAGGTAGTGCAGCAAGAGCTTCCGTAGTAATGGAACTAATGGAACTACTGAGTCTCCTTTCTTTGAGACTACTATTTGTGCATGAAAAAGCTGGAAAAGGAGAGAACTGGGGAATAGAGACAGGCAGAACATGTGGCCCGTGTGCGTGTCAATTCGGCTCCTCCGCATTTGCGCAAACCACCTCGGGCGCGACGCCTGAAAGAGGCGGGCTGGGACGGACGGCACGGCTGCCTAGCCATCGAACGGTGAGCCCTTGCGGACTTTTGTGCGTGGACCATTGCCATCACACAGCTCGGTTTTTTGACACATTTGAGGGTTGCTCGCGGAATTTGGCGGGATTGACCTTCAAAAGCTTGTTTTTTTTTCTCCTGCTTGCCGAACCCTCCGTGGACTTGCGTTGGGGGGGGCCCTCGGAAAAGCGCTAGTCTTGTGGTTTGTTGTTGTTCCCCGCTTTGGCGGGGCGAAGAGAGGGCAAGAGAAACGGAAAGAGCAAGGAAAAGAGAAAGCGACAGAGAAAGAGGAAGAAGGATCAATAAGGAGAAAAAGAGAGCTATAAAGCGAAAGAGAAGGAGAAAGAGAAATCGACAGAGAAAGAGAGAGAGAGAGCGAGAGAGAGAGAGAGAGAGAGCGAGAGAGACAGAGATGAAGCCAAAGAGACAGAGAAGCTGAGAAAACAGACAATCGAACAGCGAGAAAATCAATGCGAAAAGCAGAAAAAGAAAGACAGAGAGAGAGAGAGAAACAGAGAACGGGACCGACAATAACGAAAGAAAGAACGAAGGAAAGAAGGAAAGAAGGAAAGAGGGACAGAAGGAAAGAAGGAAAGAAAGAATGAAATAAAGAAGGACATCAAGAAAAGAAAGCAAGAAAGAAAGAAAGGAAGAAAACAATAAAAGACATGTGACATAAAGAAGTAGACAATGACAGGCAAAGGAAGCAAGAACAAAACAAATAATGTGCGATCGAAAGAAAAACAGAACCAACGACAGGCAGCTCCAAAAAAAGGAAAGAAAAAATGAAAGAAAGAAAGAAAGAAAGAAAGAAAGAAAGAAAGAAAGAAAGAAATAAAGAAAAGAAAGAAAGAAAGAAAGAAAGAAAGAAAGACAGAAAGAAAGAAAGAAAGAAAGAAAGAAATAAAGAAAGAAAGAAATAAATAGAACAATAAATTGACAAAATAAAGAACACAATACAAAAAAAAGAAAGAAAGAAAGAAAGAAAGAAAGAAAGAAAGAAAGAAAGAAAGAAAGCAAGACAGACAGAAAGAAAGAAAGCAAGCAAGCAAGAAAGAACGACGGAAATAAATACACGATACAAAAAAGAAATAAGCCCAGACAGCAAAATATTGGACAAACTGAATACATAATTGACGAGGCAAAGCAACAGAGCAAAACAGCAAGGAGCACATAAAGAAAGGAGTGAGTAACATACATATGTAAATATCGAATAGAAAGACAGAAGGAATGAAGGAAAGAAAGGCAAAGAGAGCGAAAGAAAGACGGAAACAAAGGAATGACATAAAGAAAGAAAGAAAGAAAGAAGGAAAGAAGGAACGAAAGAAGCAGATACAATAAGGAAAGAAGCTCAGAAAGCAAAAGCAAGGACGAACTGAAAACACAATTAATGAGGTAAAGAAACAGCAACACAGCAAGAAGCACACAAAGAAAGGAATAACTAACATAGATATATGAAATACTACCGGAAAAAAACAGAAGCAAGCAAGGAACAAACAGAAAGAACGAAAGACATAAAGAACGAAAGAAATAAAGAACGAAGGAAAGATGGAAAGAAAGGAAGGAAATAAGGAAAGAGCGAAGGCAAGAAATAAATGAAGAAGGAAAGAAGGAAAGAAGGAAAGAAGGAAAGAAGGAAAGAAGGAAAGAAGGAAAGAAGGAAAGAAGTAAATAAAGAAAGAAAGACAAAAAGACAATGCGAAAGAAAGATGGAAATAAAGTAAGGACATAAAGGCAGAAAGAAATTCAGAAGGAAGGACATGAGGCAACAATACAATAAAGAAAGAAGCTCAGACAGCAGACGAAAGGACGAGCTGAGTGCATAATCGACAAGGTAAAGAAGCAGAGCAAAACAGCAAGAAGCACACAAAGAAAGGAATAAATAGCAAAAATACATAAAAGACTACTAGAAACAACGCAAGGAAGAAAGGAAGGAAAGAAAGAAAGAAACAAAGAAGGAAATAAATAAAGAAAGATGGAACTATAAGGAAATACAGACGGACAGAAGGAAAGAAGGAAAGAAGGAAAGACGGAAAGAAAGAAACAAGCAAGAAAGAAAGAAAGAAAGAAAGAACAAATTGAAGAAATAAAGAAAGAACGAATGAAAGAAAGCAATAAACAATAAAGGCAGAAGCTCAGACAGCAAAAGATTGGACGGACTGAATTCATAATTGACGAGGCAAAGCAACAGAGCAAAACAGCAAGGAGCACATAAAGAAAGGAGTGAGTAACATACATATGTAAATATCGAACAGAAAGACAGAAGGAATGAAGGAAAGAAATACATGAAGAAATACAGAAATAGCGAAAGACATAAATAACAGAATGAGGCAATACATATATATATATATACAAAGAAAGAAGAAGGAAGCGCTCCAAACCATCTTTGAATCCGCCGGCCGCTGGGCTTTGCCGGCTCTGGCGTCGGCCGTGGGCGATTCAATCTGAGCTGGCTGCTGGCAGCTGTCCGGAGTCAGAAAGCGCATATAGAAGGCCCAAGCGCACGCTCCAGGTGGAGTTTTCAGTGAGGCATTGCATGGTCCAAGATGGTTATGGATGAGAGTGATTACGCTGCAGTCGAGTCGAGTGAGACATGAGGAGGTTGATGCAGTTTGATGCTAGGTGAGGCAATGAGCCCAAACAGATCTTGACTGTGGAAAGCACCTGTGTCACAAGGATGAGAGCTGGGTTCAGCACTACCAGCCTCCGTCGCAGGAGGCCAGGCATGCATGTGAGATGGCGATGCTTGGAGCCTGTAGGAGATCGCTCCATGTTCTTCCGGGTTGCGCATATGGTTCAAACAATCAGGCTCCTTGTCACTGTCAAAGGGAAACCCAAAGGGAAGTTGTTGAAGCAACAGGGTTCGAACATGTTTAAACAGGGAGTTGGCCCAACCCTGACGTTCTTGCGGTGCTTGTTTTGAGAATCCCCTTCATCTCTGGAAGACGTTTTTGGCACTGCGTTGAGAAAACCAGATTGGTTCACTAGTTCTAGACAGGAAGGCAGTCAGCTGTGACGAGTTGGGACAGTTTTGAAGCGCGTTTGGCAAGGCAGTTTCGGACACAAGTAGCACGAAAAGAAAGCAACTTCACTTTTGGCAAGTCAGCTTGGTCCCACCACCCGCCCCAACCCCCGGCCCTTTACTGGAACTTTGAAGGGGCGATTGGTTCGGTACCCGGTATGTGAGGCTGGACTTTCCAGCCATCCACAAATTTCCGTGGCGTTCGCGTCGTATTTGCCCTTTCTTGACAGGAAAAAACATGTGCATAGCACTTGCATACGTGGAACAACACCTTGGTGGTTACAAGCAGTTGTCATCGCGCTGCCCCTTAGGTAGGAAGTATATATATATATATATATTAGTATATATATATATATATATGCATATTCCTTGTTGAGCCTTTTGCTTGTGTGTTATACTCCATCGGTCAAAACGCTGGGCTCAAAGAGAAGCCAAAGGAAGGCCGGGAACTATTTGGGGTTTCAACATGGGGTATTGTGGTCTTCCCAGCCCCGGAGGCGGCAAACCAATCCCTTGCGAGTCATGTGTGGGGGAAACAAGCCTTGGGGGGAAGAACCAAGTCATGCTGGCTTCATGGAACCCCCTCAAAAGTAATTGATTTGGGTGTTTTTTTTTTTGAGGGCGCCCTCTTCAGGCTGGCTGAAACCAAAAGGATTTTGAGCCGCCTGCCGTTTTTCTGGACAGGTCAGGTCCGCTGCTGCCCCGGCCCATGCCGCAGACGCGGCCGCGGGGCCGGGCAACAGCACGCCCCGGGCGCAGCGGACGATGGCGCGGAAGGGTGACCACGGGTTTTCGTGGTCGGGTTGGGAGACTTGTTTGTGGGTCAGGGATTCCAGCAATTCGTTTTTTTTCCCCAACAGCTGAAAGCTTTGGGGTCTCAGCCCAGATAGGCTCCGGGGTAGTCCGGGGAGGCCCGAGGTAAGGTTCCACGAGGGTTCCACGAGGGTTCCACCAGGGTTCCACCAGGGTTCCACCAGGGTTCCACGAGGTTCTGCGAGGGTTCTGGGAGGTTGGGGTGCTGTTGGGGATATCGCCTGAGCTTATTTATTTTTTTTTGGGGGGGGGTTAAGATGAGCTCACCGATTCTGGGTCAAGCCTTGGTATCAAGGAGGCTGTTTCACCCTTGGTTGAAACATATTTCTGCCTATTCTATGGCGAGCGATGCCAGGGGGGGAGGATAAGTTTTAAGAACGAGGGATTCCACCCATCGGTCCTTTACTTGAGGATCCCTTCAGGTTGACATAGAAAGCTGTGCAGATTGCATTCGCAACGGGGGAGGGGTTGAGGCATTTCTGGCAAAGTTCTGGTGGATTCCTTTTTCTGAGTTCAGAAACGTTTAAGAAGGAGCCCAACAAGGGCCAGACTCCTAAATAGGATCGGTTAATTTCTTCCTGGGGTTGATTCTTTGTCCATTCTCTTCAAGCTTCCTTCTGTGCCAAAACCGGACTGTTTTGTTGGGTGTTTGTGGTGGTTGTTTGGAAAGAAAATTGGCTGGAAGCGATTTGAATATTCCAAAAAAGGCTTTCACAGTCTTGGTGGTTCCCAGCCATCCCCGCAGGTTTTTGACTTTTCACCAAACCACTAACATTTAGATTTTAGCAACGCATCTGACAGCCCAGCAGTACGATTCATGTTGCGGTTGAGATGCAGAAGGACTCATTATGACCTTGCTGCGGATTTGGGGCATTCCGATGAAGTCCGGAATTGGAACCCTGGACTTGTATATTTCCAGCGTTTGGAGGGACTTTGCGTCATATCCCACTAAACTCAACGGCTGAGTGTACAGGCCCATGTATGAACCCATGGTTTGGACCCTTTGGTGGCTGAGTCCCATAATTAAGCCGTAGCCAACGGTTGCTTAACCCATAAACTAGGGGCTCGTACCGGAGGTTCATATATGGGGCTAATATACGTTCAGCCTTTGATGAACGTTTGAAACTCAGCAAGGGATCAAAGCACCAACAAGTTGAGGGGCAATTGACATTCGAGTGGAGATGTCCAAGAACTGATCAGGGGATGCGAATGCAACCTCTATTTGGTGTGGTGCCTCTTTTGCGGGCATTTTTGATGATGACCCTGTTTGGGTATGCGAGATTTGGACCCTCCGAAATTGTGGCTTCCCTGTTGGTTGCTCTTTGAGCCAACCCAACAAGGATATCTAGCCTCAAGAAGACACATGACCGCATAATTCCAAGCCACCAATTGAGCAGCGCCCAAACCAATTGAGCAGGCCATTCTAAGCATATGGCGTTTTAACCCTCCCCCAGACGATTCCATGGAAGCTCCCAGGACGTTTTTGGAAGACTTGGTTCAATTTAGAGAGGCCTTCTGGGAGCTTCCATGTTACTCTGAGGGAGATGGGTCGAACCAAAAGAGCTCAACGGGCTTCGGGCCCCATTTTCCACCGACCTGCCGACCTCCTGGCGTCCAGGCGCTTCCTTGCTTAGCGAGCCCAGACGAGCCGATGGTAGCGAGCGGCGGAAGCGCCGACGTGGAGAAGTGCGACGTTTGGCGCTTCGTGGAAGAGGCGCGCAAATGTGCAGCGGCCGCAAGCGGCTCGAGCAAGAAAGGTCAGGTTAGTGGGTAACTGGTGGGCAAATTGTATCTCACGGAGATTTGCCCTCCCAGCAATTAACATGGAACCTGAAGGGGGGGGGGTCCTGGAAGACTATGTTCCTTCAAAGGGACCGGGTCCCTGTCAGGTTCCGGCTGTTACTTGGTGAGAGGGTACAACCGTGTGGGGGGAAGTACCATCTCTAGGAAGTCCGCCCGAGGAATTCCATGTTTAAACCGATTCCTACTGTGGATGGACAAAACCGGCTTTCCAGTTGCTAGGCTGTGTGCTGCATTCATTGGGGTGTCATCCGTGCGAGGTGGTTCGAAGTGGATTTCGTCCAGCAATAAAACGGCTTACTTCTCGAACACATAGGCCTTGCCGGCTTTTTTGGCTGGTTACAAAGGCTACTCATCCTTTTTTGGTATTGCTTGCTTACATGAGTGAGCCCTCAAGCTGGCTAGCGCTTTGGTTTCCCTTCACCCACCAAAGGGTTCGCCCCAACGTCTGCACACCCTTTCTGTCCCTTCGAAGCCAACCCCAAAGTTCCTTCAGACCTAAAACGACACGCAGAAGCCATGAGCCATGGGACTATACTGGTGGGCAAACTCCGCTTCTCGCTCCTCCCGAGAAACCCAATGATTCGATTCCCCTAACGTAAGTATCAACCAACGTAATGGTTTCAACCATGGTTTCATTTCGTGCGAACATAAGATATATAATATATAATATATATATATAAATCTATTTATATTCATATATTTGTTTATTAGAACACACACCCACACAGCACCAAAAAAACAGCAAACAGATTTCGCACCTCTCCACAGCAGCTCCCCAAGTCGTTTTGCTGTGACGTCAGACCTTGGACTGGCGCTTCGACTCGGAGGATGAGCCCTTGGGCATTGACTCCTTGAGGCCAGCGCCGGCCGGCGCTCGCTGCCGGGCGCTGCCATGCTCGTAGTTGCCTATGGCAAGGGTCGCTGGGTTTTATCACGACCCAAACCAATGCGAATGGTCCCGCAGCGAAGGGTGCCCTTTCTTTTACCAAACTTTTTTTGGGGAGCAGGTTCGGGACCCTACTAAAATACACAGAAGAAAGTTGGTACCCTTATTCTATCCTCTCTAGTGCAAAACCACGAATGCTACCAGGAATTCAATGGGATGTACAGCCGCATGGCCACCATGCAAAGGGCATATATGGATGTGGGTCAAAAAAGGGTACCCAACACGGAGCCATGGTAAATGGACACATGAGCTAAAGCCTGCGGCTCCCATGGTCTAATTTTGACCCATCGATTTACCCTGGATGTGGTGGTTTGGGGGGTGGTGGAGCCGTCCGGCACTCCGGGGTTGGGGGGTAGAACGCCCGCGTTCCTCGGGTACCTGCGTGTGAAAACATCGGGGGCCCGCACTGAAATGCACACCCTCTACCGGGAGATCTTGGACATGCATGTTGTTTTTGCTTGCAAGAGGCTTGTCCTTCTCTTGCCTTGCTTCAGTGACAGAGTGATACTTACCTGGTCTGGCCAAGTCTTTTCAGACATTCGGGAATGACCTCAAGCAATCATCCAAAAGACTGTTTCTCAAGCTGGTTGGGAAAATGAGTCTTGCCCGATTCTCCCACTTATTAAGTGCCTCCCTGCTTCCTCACTTAGAAATATGTTTTCGTTTTTGAACGAATGAGATATGTGTAGTTATGCTTGCGGGGCTTATTTTGAAACCATGGTATGGGTGTGCTTCTTTTTAGGTGTCCCCACCAAAATGCTGGTTGTCCTCTTGGCTTTCCTTGCCCAAAAAGGGGCACCACCAACAGCAGACCGACCCATTTGGGCCGTTTTCTCCACGGCGGTTGCTTCAGGTGGACCAAGTTGGCGAGCGCCCTGCAGCGCCGCGGCAGGCTACTGCCGCCGCGGGGGCAGGTGCGGACGCTAGGCGCGTTTCTTCTGAGATCAGAGTCCGAGATCGAACATCGTTTCATCGGTTTTGATGCAAGCTACAAAACGTGATTTCCTAACTTGAAGGGTGGTGTTTTAAACATGACCTGTTGTTTGCAACAAATTATTTGTTGAGCTTCCACATGATGTTTCAGCGGGAAACTTCGGCAGTCCAGGTGGGGTGGGTGATGCGCGTGGGGTAAGTCCCACGAGTCGGCCGATTCATTTGGTGAGTGTCCGTTTGGGCAAACAAAAGTCTCAGTCTGCATGTGGGCCTGTTTTTTTGGGCGTACTCCTGTTTGTGGTTTTTTACAAGGAAGCCAAAAGGAGAACAACTCATTTTAGGTGTCCCTCAACAGAACCGCTCACACACACACACACATAAAGATCTATATATATATACAGTTTACCCTGAAATGGCCATACTCATTCTAAGAGTTGGAGCCCCCTCAAGAACGGTTGCTGGTGCACCAAAGGTCCCTAATAACAAAATTAAATAACCTATTTGACCCTAAACCCATCTTTGCCATGTTAGCAGGTGGTTCTACCTGGTTTATGGTAGTTGCAGTAAGGCCTATTAGAAAGCCCTTGATAACCATTTGTGTACTGTGAGGGACGAAGTCCTGCACCCCTGGAACGTTTCGATCCCCCTGTATTACCACAATCATGGTTGCATTTCGTGGTGCGAACAGATTTTGTCCATCCACCATATTGCAAGTAAACCACCCACAAATTGTCCGCGATTGAATTTGTGTTGGGTGTCCAACTGGTTTCCCTGGCAATATGTGTGTGTGTATGTATGTAATGTAATGTAATGTAATGTAATGTAATGTAATGTATGTATGTATGTATGTATGTGTGTATGTATGTATGTAATGTAATGTAATGTAATGTAATGTAATGTAATGTAATGTAATGTAATGTAATGTAATGTAATGTATGTATGTATGTATGTATGTAATGTATGTATGTATGTATGTATGTATGTATGTATGTATGTATGTATGTATGTATGTATGTATGTATGTATGTATGTATGTATGTATGTATGTATGTATGTATGTATGTATGTAATGTATGTATGTATGTATGTATGTATGTATGTATGTATGTATGTATGTATGTATGTATGTATGTATGTATGTATGTATGTATGTATGTATGTATGTATGTATGTATGTATGTATGTATGTATGTATGTATGTATGTATGTATGTATGTATGTATGTATGTATGTATGTATGTATGTATGTATGTATGTATGTATGTATGTATGTATGTATGTATGTATGTATGTATGTATGTATGTATGTATGTATGTATGTATGTATGTATGTATGTATGTATGTATGTATGTATGTATGTATGTATGTATGTATGTATGTATGTATGTATGTATGTATGTATGTATGTATGTATGTATGTAATGTATGTATGTATGTATGTAT